AGAGCTGAGAGATAAGGCGGGAGACTTTAGCCGCTGAGGCTGGTCTTGCGGTGGTTCTTCCCGCGGGGGGGGCTCTTAGGCCCCCGGGGGGGCATTCGGCCCCCTCTGGAGGGACCTGGGACCGCAGTTGGCGTTTGGGTGCAGGCACCCTGAGCGGTTGGGGGTTTAGCCCCTGGCAGCCTGGGCCCCGGATGCTGTGGGGCTGGGTTGCCAGGCCTGGGGGTCAGGCTCCGCCGACTTTGTCTCAGTAAAAAAGTGGGGGGTCAGTGATTAAAAAGTGTTGTTTTTAATTTAGAAAAGGGAAGGCTGTCTGTGCTGGAAATGGAAGAGTGGTGAGTAATGTGCCACGTATTGGAAACAGGCCAGAGGGGACTAGATGCAGGCCAGGTCAGGCAGAAAGTGCCCTTTGGCCCCTCAAGGACTCTCACCTGATCTTAGGAAGAAGGGGTGATTAGAGCCTCCATATGCAGGGGCAGCCTGCTCCGAGGGCCAGGAAGGAGGGAGCAGCTGCCCTGGGAAGCCCCCTGCTAAATCTCCTCGGGGCCTCCCTCTTCTTCTTCCCCTCCTCGCCTGGCCCCTGGGGCGGCCCACCTCTGGGGAACAGGCCCCTGTCCCAGCTGAAACGTGGGGAGCACTAGGGCAGTGCCCCCCCCTTTGAATCGTCCCTGAGTCGCTTTGGGAGCTGAGCCCCACTGCAGGGCTCCATGGGGGACCCCTGCTCGCCTTTGGCCCCGTGAGTGGAGGAGAGGGCCGGCTGTTCAAGCCCGCCAGCGGGGGGGGTGGACAGCCATTGCTTCTGCTTGGGGGGGGAACCACTTGGCTGCTGCGGTGCGGCATGGCTGTTTCCGGCTGCGTGGAGAAGAGCTTTGCGCTTCCCGAGCTCTGAGTCTCGGAGGGGCTGTGCTGAGCGCTGGGGCCACGCTTGCAGACGTTTGCCCTCTGGCGCCTCGGCGGCTCTCGAGTGAGTTCCGGATCCGTCCCGTTGCTTAGAGAGGGAGGCTTGGTCACGGCTGCTGCCTGTCTGGCAAGGGGAGGTCCCGGCTGCACCCAGCAGCTGCCCTTGAGGCAGGGCAGCCCTGCAGTCCAGAAGGGTCTTCTGCCTCGCTCAGCCTGTAACAGCCTCCTCCTGAGCTGGCAGGTGAAGTTACCTGCTGAAAGGGAGCTGGTAGGAAAGGAGGGGAAGTCTGCTGCCCGTGAGCCAGGCCACATAGCTGGCATGGACCAACATTTGTGCCAGGCTCCAGTGGACAAAACCCACCCACTAAAAAACACTGGTAAAACTTGGAGGGGGGTGAGGGGGAGACTAGCAGCAGCATCCAGCTAAGCTGACCTCCAAGGCTAGTTGCTGAGAGCCCAGGGCGTGAGCCCAGCCAGGCCTCCTGCGTGCCCCCCTCCTTCTGATCCGGCCCCCGGGCTCCTTGGAGCTCCTTCAGGAATTGCAAAAATTGAGAGCCGGTCCGGTCTAGTGGAGAAGGCACCAGGCTAGAAAGCAGGAGACGGTGAGTGACCCTTAGGCACGGAAGCCCGCCGGGG